ATATGTCCAAACTTTTTGTTTCTGTTGGATCTAACTATTTTTATACTTTCCAGGTTTTGGTGCGATGGCTGAAATATCAACAATTGTGAAAACTGTTAAAGAAAATTTGGAAGAATGTTGAATGACTAAAGAGTCCTGAATTCCACTTTTCTTCATCTCACACATCAGCTGAATCAAAGTTTTTGATAACCGGGGTAATAAGTATCTGTTGAAATAACCAAACCAGGGTGATGAAGACATGGAAACCAATGCTGCTGTACATATTGAGGGCTCTCTGAAATGTATAATTTATTTCCAGTTGCAAAGCATTTAGTAAAGAAAATTGTCAATACAGTGGGTGCCAAAATAAACTGATCGGGAAAACCACATCTCCCTAGCAACACCCATGTTTGTTATGACTACAAACATACAATGTAAAATCATACCAATTGCAATTATATTTTACAGAGATGCCTAAATTTGAATTTTGTTTGTGATCAAGTAATAGCTCACTGTGCTCAAATGTAGGATTCAATAATACACTTTTTTTCATATTTCATGCAATTCTTTCATTCAAAAATCGACCTTGAATCCAAATCTATATTTTCTATTGGTATTTGAAAATAGTTGTGTATAGGAGTGTCTTCTTATTGGAGTAAAGTGCCAGAGTCAAAACAAACACTGTTCGTAATGTTTCCTGAAATGTAAGCAAGGGAGATTGATTGATAGGGAGTTTTCTTGCTCAGTTTCAGAAACCGATGTAGTTTAATTTTGGACTTGTTACCGTGCATGTAAAGTAGATGGTGGCAGGTATAAAGGGGTACAAATATACGTCCCTCTCATCATTCATGAGTGTACCGGTAGTAGGAGAAGTGAATTCACAATAAAAAGAATAATGTAAATAATTATTTTAATAATTTTGTAATAGATACCTTAATTGCTACAGATAGATGTAATGGAGATTGTAACAAACATGTGACAAGAAATAAACATGAAGAATATCCAATAGTCTTAATATTTCTTGATTTCAAAGAAAAAAGTCTGTGAAATTTATTTCATAATTATTTCTCAATTCAGAATTCCGTAAAATGTAGTAAAAGTCACTGTACATGCTGATAAGTAGTAATCTTGAAATTGTTATTTTAATATCGTAATTATTAAGTTTAAATTTAATTGGCGAATTTTTCTGATTCCTATAAAAAAAGTAAATCACTTGCTACGTTTTATGCTAAAATACCCGATATACCAATAATATTTACAATGTAGCTTTGCACTTAAGACAAAAATATATATATATATTAAGCAGATATGAAAAATAATTGTCATAAAATCTTATGATTATGAATATACTTGTGATCACAACATTTTGCTGTGGTAGTTTTATTTTAGAGTAAAGCTGCCAATTACGTGATATTATCGTTGGGACCCATACATGTTTTAGTTTATGTAGAAACATTACAATCACGTCATTGTTATATTTGGATACAATGTATACGGTTCAGCCAATCACAGTTTACTGCTCAAATTTGTTATTGTTACAATCTGTCACTTTTTCTGGTTGTGCCACCATCTTGTTATCTCATGGTGTGTTCGGAATAAAACTATGGAATGGTTAACTGATTCTCATGACTGAGTGATTTTCCTGAGTTGACCGTAGACATTCCTAAATAGATTGTAGCTATTCCCACAGATATCTACATCAATTTGTTGGCGTTAGAAATTGCACTATGATAAACTTATAAAATTAAGAGTACATAGTAAAAAGCCCCAGTGACTATTTCATCAATTTTTTGGGGGCTCGGTAAAGCTTAGCTGCTTATACCGGTAGTATTATGAAATAAGTTTGTTACAGTAATATTTATCGACTTGAAAATATGATTGATTTTTGGCAATTTTACTAGGTATTAAAAACCATAAATGCTAGCCTGTCTACATATATTTCAGTGTGAAACTGTAATGTCTATAATACAATTATTTACAATAATAAAAGAAATGGCACATTTCATAAAAAATTCTAAAATAAGGCTTATTTGAATAAAAATGTGTCAATACATAAAAATTATACAATCTAATACCCAATTTTGTCTGTAATATCAAAATCTTAAAATCATATTGAATTTAGGTATTAAATGGATGTATTCTACAGCCACTATTCAGAAAGGTATTGTAGTGTGCATCAGTAATTCTATAAATGTTTATTTCCATGGTAACCAAATACTGGTGACCATTTGATTTAGTTTGTAGCTTCTTAACTTTCTCCACCAACCAATGAAAGTAGGATCCTCTTGTAGTCACCTGATGTATCTTCCTGCAAAGTTGAATATAAACATTTAGTTATCATTGAAAAAACACACTCTAGAGTGCCCTCTATTGAAGTTCAAAATCATTAGAATTTTTGCAGCAGACTTATTACGTACGATCTTGCAGTAAATAGAAAATTATCTATATTGTATTTCTTGCAAAAATTGTAACTCTTTGTTTAATTCTTTGCACCACCAGACTTTCTCATACATTTTCCTTATATTCTTCAATATTTCTGGAAATGAACCCTAATTTTAGAGCTAACAGACACAATTTGAGTAAATTTTCAGATTTTACTTAACAAATTCGGCTATTTTTGTCCAAAACTTCTGAAGGAAAGTGCAGACTATAAACAGAACTATTTTGTGAATTTGTGATGAAAAGATGGAACTGGTTGGTGAGAAGGTTAAAATACATTAGGCATGACAACTCACAGCAATGAACTTTCCAAGAGTTTTTTTATAATCATTCTGGAATTCGTTTTTGATGTTCACCATGTCAACCTCACAGCGGGATATCACGATACGCTTCAAAGCATCATCATCCGTACCAGCTCCCTGCAGAGAACAGAAAATGTCACATATAGCAATATTATTAATCGCCAATTTTAATCAGTTTTTTTTTTCAAGTTTTCAAAAGAAATTGTTGATACTACCGGTACATAGAAACAAGTTAAATCAAGTAAAAAAAAATGCATGCTGCCCATGCTTGTTGCTATGGTAACAAATAATCTCCGGCGGCCATTTTGAATCAGCAGAAAGAATAGTTGAGATGTTGACTAAATAGCTCTCACTTTAAAAATGGCATGCAGACCCTAATTTTTTTCTTCACGTCAATTTTCCTAGATGCATCTCATTTTTGATATATCGCATATTGTGAAGTTCACAATACACAGTATTTTGAGTATAATACAACTTCTTACCTTCATTGATTTGTATAATTTATCAGAGAAATATTTATGTTTGTTCCTCACACATCTCACTGTTGAAACAAAGACAATCATATTTATTAGAAGTTGATTTATAAATTGCAATATTATTTTCACACATCATTGTAAGATACTAAGGTACATTTCAGACTTTATGCATTCTTCTAAGTAGCATTCTCAAATTGCATCTGACTTTGCTTTTAATTTTCGTGGTTGAAAAAATTCATTTTTTTAAGTTATCAGTCTATACATATTTATTTGAATACATCTGTATTAAGTACAAGTCAATAAAACTGTTTGTTTTTTTTCTCAGATTTGTGGGATATAGAAAAGCCAAGTACGATATTACTATAATTCCATATCTTACTTTCATGTAGGGAAAGAGAAGGGGGGTGTATGATGCTGCATGAAATACCTTTCGTTTTTTGGTAAAATTTAACAATTTGAGAACACGCTTTAGAAGGGTTTATCTATGGATTTTCCAACACTTACCAATGGTCAGCATACTATTTTTCAAATCACCAGACATTTCACTCTTAATAGCCTGTGTAATGTCTTTTTTACTAATTTTACCATACTCGTCAAATGTTGCACGTAGTTGAGGATAACTTCTAGACGCCATGACTTCATTGAACTTTGATTCGTCGGTTCCCCATTTCTTTTCACCAGCATTGTACAATGCCTATGAAGTAAATGATACCGTGTATAATTTCTTCTAGCACAAATTTAGGTAAAATACACAAAGTGCCTTTCTTTCTGCCGGAGATTATTGTGCAAATGGTCACAGAGTATCATCACAACATTTTAATTTAAAATATATTAATGTCCCAAAAAATGGAATATTCCATTGACAAATAGGGGTGGTATGACCAGTGATAGAGATGCAGTACCTGTGCATCATCCTTTGCTTGTTGTGGATCAATTTCATCTTCCTCTGGTCGGTTACCCTGGATAACTGAGACAAGGATTCTCCTAAAATGGCCTGATGTGTCTGAGATAACGTCATCTTCAAGAGTATTCTTATACACTGTGAGGACAAAGTTATTCAATTCATGTAAGTATTATACATATTATTGCCAGTAAACATAATTTCTTGTTTTTAATTTTACATCACAAATTTTAAAAAACTAATACCTCTTTCATATTCATCATTAATTGCTAGGATTTCTGCATTTGTTCTCGTACAAAGTATCTCAATAAGGGCATCCTCATCTGTACCCAGTCCCTGAGAAAAGATTTAACAAACACACATAATGAGTTATGTCACCCTCTGTGAGCAGAGCCTGTACACAGTCCACTTAGAGTGTATTCATGTCGCTGTGTCACATTTACATCCAACTGGTACGTGACGTCATAACACTTCTGGCCCTGCTCAGAGCACCTTGGGGAAAAGATGACTGATGACAAAATCGTTACATTGACATATTTGTCCAGAAAATAATGAAATGGCACTGTTGCAACAAAAACACATATGTTTGAGATGATCAAAGAGAAAGAGAAAATTAAAAAACTTATAAACAGAATTCTAATTATTATTTTAGTCTCTAAAGAAAGGTGAATCTGGAAGAAGGTTGTCACTGGCCACTAAAATCACAAAACTTAAAAATGAAATTATTTGATACCTTGACAGCTTTTTTCAGCTCAGAAGCATCAAATTCAGCTGGTTTCTTCATCAGTCCTAAGATAACATCAAGTAGTTTACCACTCATTTCACTTTTAAATTCTTTAATAAGATCCTAAAAATAAGCAAAAATCTGTTAAGACTGAAATAAAGAACACATATTGAGTGTGTACATTCACATGAGAATAAACTCATCACAACTCATTAGCGTATACCTCCACACAGACACAATAGTCCCTTTTTAGTCAGAATAGAGTTGAACAAGAAATTCAGCATAGAACAAGTTTAAGAACAAATTCTTTTACGTAAAACAATGGTCACCATGGTTACCACATGATGAGAAAATTGAAACATGCTGCCATCTGAAAAGAAAAAGTATGTCTGATATGTTAACTGACCTTTCCATACATAGTCTTGAACTCTCTACTAATCTTCTGTCGCTGTTTGTTAGATCTCTGCGACACCACCGCAATGATGGATTTCTCATCCGTGCCTGAAAGAATTCAATGAAATCAACATCAGACTGGGTACATTACAACACACACTGCAGTCAGGCCATACATTGTATCGTTACACAGATTCTGACAGTCCGAGTTTCTATGAAGCCCAAAGCATGCTGGTGAATTGTGATATGTATGGCTATAAACTAGTAACTTCTTATAACAAACTGCCAAGCTTCTGGGATAGAATCAGGGATTGCCAGCTTAATGTTGGAATAAAATAAATTGATTCCATCACTGATAGATAGGCCATAGATTACACTATAGATGCATGTTTGTGATATGGACTGGTTGACTCTGCTCCAACTTAATAGCAAGTCCATAATATCTTTGATTACCATAGCAACATTACAGATAATCATCACACTCACCAAAGCCTTTCATAGCTTTCCTCAAAACTTCAGAATCTTTTTTCGCATCAAAGTTTGGGAATTCAGTAACAGTTCCTATCCCCTATACATTCAAACAAAGAAAAATATCAATTTAATTTTCACGAATTATTGATTTCAAAACTGATAAGAAATCCAAATCATGAAATTAGAAATGTGAAAAGCAAGTCATGAAGAAACTCAGTAAATTATCTTGGATTCAGAAATGTGGCTCAGCATCCATGTGACATGACTTACCTTAATGCTCTTTTCCTTGTATGTGTGTCGTTTCCTTCCTCCTTGACTTCCGGAAGCTGCAGAATCTCTGGATCCTCGTCTTCCTTTCCCACCACTGAATTTATTGAGAGTGCTTTGACCCATACTGGATGCAAATATGGCTGCTATTGATTCGTATCCTTTCTTCATTGCTAAATCATAAGGCGTTTCACCTCTGTCATTCTTACATTTGCAGTTTGCGTTGCAGTCCAATAGAGCTTCAATCGCTTCTTGACCATCTGGGCCGAGGAGTACGCCCTCATGTAATGCAGTATTACCATTCCTAGACAATTCAAGAAAGTTTGACCCAAATTCAAATTTTGCAACCACCGAGCTTTTTTTACCACTGACAGGCACAAAAGTGCAATTTTCATGAGGAAGAAAAATAGAATAAAACTTCAAGCTCTAAATTTTAGTCTGAAACACTTGTGTAACAAAACAGCCTATTAATTACACTGTTTGGGATTTAATCCTCAACTTGTCCTTACCTTCCTGGAGATTTAGCATTTACGTCAGCACCAACATCAGCCAGTACAGGGATGCAATCAACGTGGTTATTCATTACAGCCACTGTCAGCGCAGGAAAACCATCTGCATTCATACAATTTGGATTAGCTCCCTAGTTTGATGGAAAAAGAATAGTTTTAATTAGCACCTCCTAGTTTGATGGAAAAAGAACATTTTTGACTAGCACCTCCTAGTTTGATGGAAAAAAAAACAATTTTGATTAGTACCTCCTAGTTTGATGGAAAAAGAATAGTTTGGAAATACCCCTAGTTTGTTGGAGAATAGTTTGGATGATAACTCCCTAGTTAGCTCCGCTGTCGACTTTGTCGAGCGGAGCTTATCATATGAGTGATTGTCCGTCGTCTGTGTCAATGTTTTACTTTTTCGACTTCTTCTTGAAAACTACAAGCCTGAATGCTTTGATAATTGGTGTATATGTACCTTAGGTAGACCTTTCTTAGATTTGATTACATATATAGGTACTACATGTGGACCTCTCTCAGATTTGTTCATTTCATGATGATATCTTCAATTCTCTAATTTTGGTGAATATTTTTGTCATTTTTGGTAAAAAGTGATATTTTCAACTTCTTGTTAAAAACCGCAAGTCCAATTGCTTTGATATTACATATATAGGTACTACATGTGGACCTCTCTCAGATTTGTTTATTTTGTAATGATATCTTTAATTCTCTAATTTTGGTGAATATTTTTGTCATTTTTGGTGAAAAGTGATATTTTCGACTTCTTGTTGAAAACCGCACGTCTAATTGCTTTTATATTACATATATAGGTACTACATGTGAACCTCTTTCAGATTTGTTAATTTCGTGGTGATATCTTCAATTCTCTAATTTTGATGACTATTTTTGTCATTTTTGGTGAAAAGTGATATTTTTGAATTCTTGTTGAAAACAGCAAGTCCCGTTGCTTTGATACTATACATATTGTTTATTTTCTAATGATATCTTCTGTTCTTTAATTGAAATGTGGATTGCTAACAGTGGAGTTATCTCAGCCGATAGGCTGCTTGTTTGAAGAAAAGAATTAGATCCTGAGTTTGATGGATTAGCTTCTAAAATAATTTACCTTTAATGAGGTGTACATCAATGTGAAATAAAATTCACTATAACAAATCTTTAATTGCAGTTCAAATTTTTTGAAATTTAAAAAGAAACAATTATTATATTTTAATGCTCCAAAAACATGATTTTGTCACAACAATCATTTGAAATAGGGATGTATAACTTCCTCATCCAGTAAGTCTGTGACTTCATCTGGATCTCCAGAAGCTCGCGGACCAAGTTCCTTCAGTAATTTGTAATCAGCCCCCTGAAATCAAACAATCAAAATAAATATACAGCTTCATTATTTGACTGTTATGTTATGTTATTTAAATTTATCCACTAAGAAATACTACATATACATCTTTGGGGAAACTTTAGTTAGGAAATTGCTGTCTTAAACATTTACATATGTTTCAATAACGCTAAAACTAACAGTCAGTGGCCATCTTTGATCAGATGCAAAGAAGTACATTCACAAGTATTATTTGAAAGTCATATTTAACACTTTCTCCAAATTGAAACTTGAAAATTATTAAATAACTAATTCACAGATAAACTATTCTCCTGCAAAAACGAGGATATGAATAATTATTTATTTCTTCAATAATTTTTGCTAATTTCAGTTCAGTACTTATAGCAATCAAATGTATTTTGAACAGGACTATTTTGTGGAAGGTAACAAAAGTTGACAATGGTGGTGAAAGGGTTGATGATATGCAAATTACCTGATTAATATGCACATACAGAACATAACTATTGTGAAAGATGACTTAAGTTACAATTGCAGGGGTCTAAACCTATTATGGAGCCTTGTTTTTAACCTTGTTTGATTTTACCACTATGTAGATTTCTTACTCACAGTTAATTGTCCTTGCTTAGACATCTTTGGTGGAGATTTCTTGGTGGTTCTAACTGGCTTCTTTGGTGCTACAAATCAAATTTAAAAGAAAGAAATTAAAAGTTGAAATCATGAACTGCCATTCCAAAATAACACTATCTACAAAATCATTAGACTTACTTGTTCGAGTTCGGTCATTGTCATAGGTTATGGCATTCTTCATTGTCCCACCTATAATAACAAAAATAACAAAACAACATAAATACCAGCATCATCATAGCAAAACAACCTAGTTATCTGTACTATCAGAGACTAACTCCCTAGTAACCTGTATAATAAGAACACAACTCCCTAGTTATCTATACTATCAGAGACTAACTCCCTAATAACCTGCATAATAAGAGCACAAGTCCCTAGTTACTTGCATAATCAGAGCACAACTCCCTAGTTATCTGCATTATCAGAGCATAACTCTTTAGTTGCCTGAATAATCAGAGCACAACTTCCTAGTTACCAGAATTATCAGAGTAAAACTCCCTAGTTACCACGATTATCAGAGTAAAACTCCCTAGTTACCAGCATAATCAGAGCACAACTCCCTAGTTAACTGCATAATCAGAGCACAACTCCCTAGTTTACTGCATAATCAAATCACAACCCCCAAGTTACTAGCATAATCAGAGCATTACTTACCTCTTTGTGGTGGTCTATCTTTGAGTTGTAAAGTGACAGATATAGTTATTTCATCTTCATACTCATCATCTACCGCAGCGAAGTTTATCTGAAAAAAGCAAATAAACAATACAGGCTGAAATAATTAGGGATTAAAAGAAGGATTAAAAAGG